GGTCGATAAAAGGGACCTAGAAAAAGTGATACATGATTTCGTAATTGGTGATAATCACAGATAATCTTATGTACTGATTCAAAACAAAATAGAAAACCTGATGTATGAATTTCAATGCAAGAGATATGTTGGTCTATATATAATCAAGGGACAATTATCTAAGACCCCCCAAACTTATATCAAAGTAAACCAAATGACGATTTAACTTACACCTAATTCTCGTACTCATTAATTTTTGACTCTGTTGTTATAACACTGAAACTTAAATATTCCGAATTGATATAAAAGATTCTGCAATTACACAAATACCACAGCAAAATAATTTTTTTTTTGTCTGGAATTACTAACTTGCAAAGGCCATCTTTAAATGCTGGAGCTCTTCTCTTAAAACTTGCAACTCGGTCTGCGACGCACATTTGGCAGAACACTTTCCGACACTTCCCTCTGAAACATATTGTTCAAGTGTTATTTTCATCCCCTGTACTTACAGCTATCCCATTCACATGTTACAATGGAAAGTAAGGGCTGTTCTTATACATACCTAACACCCACGCAAAGTTCACGTTCTTCTCCCCTTGTGTTTGCACTCTGACTAACTCTCCTTCGTCTTGGTTCCATTCCTTCTTATCTTTCCGTCCTCTCTTCTTTTGTGAAAAGGTCAAGATACACAAATCCACAAGGAGCTCCAACACTTCCAGGATACTCAACATGGACACGCCCACGAAAAGGCCGAGAGATCCGCCCAGATTACACAGCAAGGTATCCCACTGTGCAGGGATTCAAAGATTCAAATTCTTTTATAGAATTTGACATTGAGTTATCGCTCATTTCAATCAAAGTACATTCTTCATTATAGACATCTAAAGGCTAAAAGGAAAATAATTGTATTCTTTTTAATTATAGACATTAAAACAGTATGTAATCGCACTGCTTTACGTACAGTGTAGGTCGGACTCTCGTCGATCAACTCGTAGGAAATGGAGTCAAGATAGACATGAAGAACAACCGTGTCCATTTTGCTGGTGAGAAAAATCCATTCCATTTGTTATAAAACTGAGCCTAATGCTATTGAGCCTAATACAAATAAATTATATATGCATACCATAACTGTGTTACGAATATGTATGTGTGCATAATAACCTCGTAAAAATATGTTTGTGTACATAATAACCGTGTTAAGAATAAGTATATGATATATGATAAATATCTTACAAAAGATACACATGCTCACAGCACGTGTATAAATTAATTTCAGTAACAGCTGTTACTCTCAATTATCGTAAACATAACACGAAGGTAATCGATAATTTTTACTCACAGATATTTCAAGTATTTAAAAATTATTTGCATGATACTCACTCGGAGCAAAAGCTGGCAACGTTTTTCCTGAGCTTGTGGAGCAGTTCATAGTGCAGCATGTTCGCCCGCGTTGAGGTGACCTGTGACCTATACTGTGTTTCTCTGGGAAAGGGGGACAGAGTGGGTACAAAACAATGGTTATAATCATAACGTTGTTCCGATAGGTCACTGGAATGGACTTAAGTGCTAAATATAGAGATAATATCACCATAATGATAAGATATTTCATTTGATGGATTGCGAAAACGGAGTATCTATACCGGCATGGTAATGGGCAGTCACACTCCAAGACGCCATCGAGGTCGTCTGCTGCGATCTTCTTCATGCACACCTCTGCAAGAAATACTCTAATTAAGATAAATAGATAATAACTGATATAATAGCGTTTCACATTTATCAAATGTAAAACTGAATAATATACCCAAAGACAGATATTCCAATGACAATGTTCAGACGGAGAAATCAAACCAAAATAATTGCTTTAGTTGAAAAAAGGAAAACCAGCGTAATAATCACATGCAATATGAAACTAAAAAAGACGAGGCAGTATTGCAATATGAGTTTTAATAGCAAAATGAAGGTAAGCAATTTTAAAGTAGGAGCTATGGTTAAGGAGGAATAAAGAGGCCTTGGGGGTAAGCAGCTTGGAATATGATGTTGACGAAAAGAATGTGAAAGTTGGAGGATGAAAGGTGGAGTAAAACGCAAAGATAAGATAAATGAGTAAGATTATCTGACAGATGATTATCGCTTTAAGAAGAAGCCGATGCGAACATCCTCTCTTTTCATCTTTGTTTTATACCTCGTACAGATGATACAGATGACAAGTACGTACTTTGCGATGGCTATAGAAGATCCACACAATAACAAACAAGTGATACGACAGTGCATAGATAGGAGGCCACAGAAGCGACGAATATGTAAACATCCTCTAGAAGGGCTCTGATATGCAGTTACCGAAGGGCGAATAGACTCACTCTGAGTGGTATTAAAGAGAGAACAGCGGATGTCAACTCCCCCCAGGTCGTTTTTGGTGTCGTTGTGTTCCTGGGCGAAGAGCGCGTAGCATCTGCATCGCCTTCGGTATTCTCGCTCCAGACACAGCTGTTTGCACATCTGTGGTGATACATGCAAGTGCAATATCCCATGAAATAAACATTTCATGTTGATTCATGTTTTAATTCTACTATTACTTTGGTCAGAATTTATTAGAACAAAGATTCCCGATTGATACAATATTTATATTTTTATACACAATGCGGGACTAATGTTAACTTTAGCAGAATACAAATAAGAATTTCTAGATGACTTTCGGACTTTTATTTGAACATTACAGCAATGATCAATTTGAATATATTAATATCAGTTTACGTGAATCCAAAATCCGTTTTGAAAAGTTTTTGGGTAATCATTTCGTAATGTTGAAATATTTGATTGATCATTGCTGTAATGTTCAAATAAAAGTCCGAAAGTCATCTAGAAATTCTTATTGTATTCTGCTAAAGCTTAAGCATTAGTCCCGCATTGTGTATGAAAATATAAATATTGTATCAATCGGGAATCTTTGTTCTAATAAATTCTGACCAAAGTAATAGTAGAATTAAAACATGAATCAACATGAAATGTTTATTTCATGGGATATTGCACTTGCATGTATCACCACAGATGTGCAAACAGCTGTGTCTGGAGCGAGAATACCGAAGGCGATGCAGATGCTACGCGCTCTTCGCCCAGGAACACAACGACACCAAAACGACCTGGGGGAGTTGACATCCGCTGTTCTCTCTTTAATACCACTCAGAGTGAGTCTATTCGCCCTTCGTAACTGCATATCAGAGCCCTTCTAGAGGATGTTTACATATTCGTCGCTTCTGTGGCCTCCTATCTATGCACTGTCGTATCACTTGTTTGTTATTGTGTGGATCTTCTATAGCCATCGCAAAGTACGTACTTGTCATCTGTATCATCTGTACGAGGTATAAAACAAAGATGAAAAGAGAGGATGTTCGCATCGGCTTCTTCTTAAAGCGATAATCATCTGTCAGATAATCTTACTCATTTATCTTATCTTTGCGTTTTACTCCACCTTTCATCCTCCAACTTTCACATTCTTTTCGTCAACATCATATTCCAAGCTGCTTACCCCCAAGGCCTCTTTATTCCTCCTTAACCATAGCTCCTACTTTAAAATTGCTTACCTTCATTTTGCTATTAAAACTCATATTGCAATACTGCCTCGTCTTTTTTAGTTTCATATTGCATGTGATTATTACGCTGGTTTTCCTTTTTTCAACTAAAGCAATTATTTTGGTTTGATTTCTCCGTCTGAACATTGTCATTGGAATATCTGTCTTTGGGTATATTATTCAGTTTTACATTTGATAAATGTGAAACGCTATTATATCAGTTATCTATTTATCTTAATTAGAGTATTTCTTGCAGAGGTGTGCATGAAGAAGATCGCAGCAGACGACCTCGATGGCGTCTTGGAGTGTGACTGCCCATTACCATGCCGGTATAGATACTCCGTTTTCGTAATACATCAAATGAAATATCTTATCATTATGGTGATATTATCTCTATATTTAGCACTTAAGTCCATTCCAGTGACCTATCGGAACAACGTTATGATTTATAGCCCATTGTTTTGTACCCACTCTGTCCCCCTTTCCCAGAGAAACACAGTATAGGTCACAGGTCACCTCAACGCGGGCGAACATGCTGCACTATGAACTGCTCCACAAGCTCAGGAAAAACGTTGCCAGCTTTTGCTCCGAGTGAGTATCATGCAAATAATTTTTAAATACTTGAAATATCTGTGAATAAAAATTATCGATTACCTTCGTGTTATGTTTACGATAATTGAGAGTAACAGCTGTTACTGAAATTAATTTATACACGTGCTGTGGGCATGTGTATCTTTTGTAAGATATTTATCATATATCATATACTTATTCTTAACACGGGTATTATGTACACAAACATATTTTTACGAGGTTATTATGCACACATACATATTCGTAACACAGTGATGGTATGCATATTTAATTAATTTGTATTAGGTCCAATAGCATTAGGCTCAGTTTTATAACAAATGGAATGGATTTTTCTCACCAGCAAAATGGACACGGTTGTTCTTCATGTCTATCTTGACTCCATTTCCTACGAGTTGATCGACGAGAGTCCAACCTACACTGTACGTAAAGCAGTGCGATTACATACTGTTTTAATGTCTACAATTAAAAATAATACAATTATTTTCCTTTTCGTCTTTAGATGTCTATAATGAAGAATGTACTTTGATTGAAATAAGCGATAACTCCAATGTCAAATTCTATAAAAGAATTTGAATCTTTGAATCCCTGCACAGTGGGATACCTTGCTATGTAATCTGGGCGGATCTCTCGGCCTTTTCGTGGGCGTGTCCATGTTGAGTATCCTGGAAGTGTTGGAGCTCCTTGTGGATTTGTGTATCTTGACCTTTTCACAAAAGAAGAGAGGACGGAAAGATAAGAAGGAATGGAACCAAGACGAAGGAGAGTTAGTCAAAGTGCAAACACAAGGGGAGAAGAACGTGAACTTTGCGTGGGTGTTAGGTATGTATAAAAAACAGCCCTCAGTTTCCATTGTAACATGTGAAAGGGATAGCTGTAAGTACAGGGGATGAAAATAACATTTGAACAATATGTTTCAGAGGGAAGTGTCGGAAAGTGTTCTGCCAAATGTGCGTCGCAGACCGAGTTGCAAGTTTTAAGAGAAGAGCTCCAGCATTTAAAGATGGCCTTTGCAAGTTAGTAATTCCAGACAATTTTTTTTTTTTTTTTTTTTTTTTGCTGTGGTATTTGTGTAATTGCAGAATCTTTTATATCAATTCGG